TTACTATATAATAGCGGAGATCATCATGTGATCACGTGAATTTCAGAATCATCCAATTTCACGATCATCCGCGACAAATATTATTATACCTATTGAAAATCCTAATAAATCGATAATGTTCGGATGATAACGAGCCCGAAATAAATTCTTAATCTACATGTATTAAAGGTGCAAAATTTGTTGGCATTATGTTAACAAACAAATTTAGAATAAGAGTCATCACTTATTAGTCGTATGTTGATGTGATTTTACCTCATGTTTTATTTGTTTGAAGGAATGTACATCCAAGTACAGGTCATATTTATAAGATTTCAATGCATACTTTTTTCCCTGACAAATTGCTGAGTATACTGTCGCAAATCCTCCTATTCCAATGACTTTGTTTACACTAAATTGTAAATAATCAAAGCATGGGATTTCTTGGTCTTGCATCAAATGCATTAAGGTCAGGTAATTCAAGTCATAGTCATTCATAATGAATTTAATAGATTCTGTCGAGAGGATATCTAATTCATTTAAAATTTCATCCAACGTAGGGCGTTTGTTTGAATCTTCTAACCAGCATTTATTGTAAAGAGTAATATAATTTGTGGGTGTATTAGGAATCATTTTTTCGAGTGCACAAAAATTTGAGGGTGGAAGTCCACTCGTAAGTTCCCAGAATAACACTCCTAGGCTATAAATGTCAGATTTTAAATTTTCCCTTTTCTTTATACCATTGTGGTACACTATGTGACGATATGCTATTTAAAACAGAACTTGAAGAGACAATATTAGTGCCAGTTAAATCCGAACTTGATGTGATAATATTATTTAATTGTTTTGACAGTCCGAAATCAGCAATCAAGGCTTTACCTTCATTTATCAAAATATTTCCAGAATGCTAAATTTTTCAAATAAATAAAATTTTAGAGCTGCTTTAATACTAGTTAAATTTGACATATAAATTAACTTACTAGATCTCTATGAATAAAATTATGATTGTGTAAGTGTTCCAACCCAAGAACTATTCCCTTTGCAATTTGAATAAGTTCAATCCATGAAATTTTAAAAATTCCATCTTTGCATTTGTTTTTTAAATAACTTCGCAAATTTCCACTATCAGCAAATTGCAATACAATTGTAAGAACCTCAGTCTTTATATCTAAATTTCATTAGTTGTTGCACACAAGTCAATATACTATATTTAATCCCCAAATTTTTTTATAGTTACTATTTCATACCTTGTAAAATTCCATAGAATTTAACGATATTTTGATGATTTATCTTGTGGAAAAATTCCAACTGTTTATAATAATTTCTATCATATTAATATTATTTTTTTTTTTTGTTAAAAAAAAATGCGGAAACATAACAAATACGTTACTTCTCGAACGATTTTTTTGAACATTTTTTCTCGTTTATTATTCTCCGAATATTTGTTTAGACATTTTAATGCATATTTTTTTTCTTGAGAAATTCCTAGGAATACAGTTGCCGATTTACCTGTCCCAAGATATTTGATTTTGCAGAATTGTGTGTGATCAAGAATTCTTATATTAAGAATTTTTAAAACTTTTTTTAATTACTCCGAATATTTATATGCTAGATAAAGTTTATGATATTAATGCAAATAAATTGAACGAAAATTTAAGTTTCTATTGTAAGGACGCTTACAATTTTCTTGCTGCATAGAATCAATTAGTTTAGACAAGATTAAGGAATTTGATATCAACTGGGATAGTGCAAGTGATATACATAATTACGTACGTTGTGAGAGGCGAATCTCACCTATATTATTATTATTATTAGATAGTGTCCTCCCCGTTTCATTTTTTTTTTTTTTTATATTATATTATTATATGTTTTTTTTCTTTATCTTATTTTACCCGGGTCTCTTCCCTATATGGAAGAACCCATGTTATCCTAAACTTGATCCAAGGATCAAGTGTCCTTTTTA